CTAATTAAGTGACGCCCACAGAACCAGTAACAAAAAAATTTAGATTTCACCCCTGATTTCACCCCTGGGTCAATCTATCCTCCAAAGCACCAGAAGGCAGGACAAAAAGTAATGTTCCAAGGGAATATTCCATCTTTGGTCATAGGGGGAGAGGTGTTGCCTCCTGTGGATAGGGTGCGCAATTTAGGCATCCTCCTGGATGCACAGTTGACTTTAGAAGACCATGTCATGACCATGACCCGGGGGGGCATTTGCCTAGCTTCGTCTGGTGCGCCAGTTGCACCCCTACCTAGACCGAGATGCCCTACACACGGTCACCCATGCACTCGTCATCTCCCGGATCGACTATTGCAACGCTCTCTACATGGGGCTGCCCTTGAAAACCACTCCGAGGCTTCAGCTGGTGCAGAATGCGGCCGCGCGGGTAGTGATGGGAGTGTCCTAATGCTCCCATGTCACACCCCTCCTGTGTGACCTGCATTGGCTACCGGTTGTCCACCGGGTGAGGTTCAAGGTGCTGGTGATTACCTATAAAGCCCTACATGGCTTAGGCCTGGGGTATTTGGTGGATCACCTGTGGCCAGCAACAGCTCCCCATCGCCCCGTGCGCTCACATAGAGAGGGCCTACTTGGGGTCCTGTTGGTCAAACAATGTCGGCTGACAGCCCCTAGGGAGCGAGCCTTCTCTGTGGGCGCACCTACCCTCTGGAATCAGCTCCCCTTGGAGCTCTGGGTAGCCCCCAACCTTTGCTCCTTCCACCGTGACCTTGAAACATGGCTGTTTCGCCAAGCTGGCCTGGACTGAATGGGGTTTTAATGGGAATTTTAGTTTTTATTGTTGAATTTTAATTGGACTTGTTGTTTATTGCTGTGAGCCGCCCTGAGTCCTTGTGGAGAAAGGGCAGCATATAAATCCAATAATAATTGTAATAATAATAATGATGATGATGATGATGATGATGATGATGATGATGATGATGATGATGAGTGGAAGATGATCCAACCTAAAACTAAGTAGAAATTTCCTGACCAATCGGTGTAACGGCTTGCTTCCAGAAATCGTGGGTGCTCCATCACTGGAGGTTTTTAAGAAGAGATTGGAGAGTCATTTGTCTGAAATGGTAAAGGCTACATGATGATTCCCTTAAGAACTGTAGCATTTCACTTAACTATGGCTATAAAAAGGTTGTAAAATCGTGCATGACTCACTTAACAACCGTCTTACTTAGAGCCACCCAAAATAACTTCCCCACAGGTCCTACTTAGACCCCCTAGGTCAGTGTTTCTCAACCTCGGCAGCTTTAAAATGGGAGGACTTCAAATCCCAGGATTCCCCATCGGGCATTCAAAGCTTTAATCCCAGAGGGGGCTGATGATAATTCCTGCAGCCTAGTGTGCCAAAGGAGCCGCGTCTTAGGCGCATGCAAGAAGCGGCCCCGGTGAAGCCGCTGTTCCTGAACTTCAGCCACTTTGAAGACGCCTGGACTTCAATTCCCAGAGTTCCCCAGCCACTGATGCCTTGAAGCCCACTGACCCCCTGCAAGGAAGGCGGGGACGCCCGGCCGGCTCTCTTCTGCCCACTCGACTCCCCCTCCAGCCCCGGCCGAGGAGGCTGCAAGTCCCGGCAGCCCCGAAGAAGCCGGGGGCGATTGGCGCCGAGCAGGGTGGGCGGCCCCTGCGAGCGGGCTGGCTGCCGGGGCCCCTGCCGGTGGCTGTGAGCGCGCGCGCGCGTGGCCGCCTGGGGGAAGCGGGGCAGGCGAGGCGAGGCAGGTGAGGCGGCGCTGCGGGCGGCCCGGAGGGCGACTCGGAGAGAGCGCGGGGCGGCTCCCGCCCTCTCTCCGGAGGCTGCCGGGGCGGGGTGACCCCACTTCCAAGCCGACCTTGCGGGCGCGGCATCGCTGGGACGGCGGAGGGTCTCGCGCAGCGGCTGGGCTTGGACTAGAAGACCTCGAGGACCCTCGCGAAGGCAGGCAGCGGGCGGGGCTGCTGGACGCGGAGGGGCCCGCGAGGGGCGCCTTGGATGGGTGCTTCGGCCCCGCCGCGCTCCTGGCCGCTTCGTTGCAGGCCGGGCTGGAGGGTCCCCCGCCGGGGCCGAACACCCCCCCCCCCGCACGCCTCCCGTGGGTTACTTCGCGGATGATCAGCCCCGGGCAGAGCAGAGGCTGCGATCCACCGCGGAGCCCTCGGACTGATGCGGTGCTTGGGTTTCAATAAAGCTCCGAGAGCACTAAGGAGCCCTCAGGGCTGGGCTGGGCTTGGGTCGGGTCGGTGGGACTTATGCAGGTTTATTGAAGAAATCCTGGTTTGTTAGACAATGGGTGAAGCATGCTGCTGCTTCACAGGAACTTCCTTCCTCTGAACTTTGTGATTTAGCCCTGACTGTAAATCTCCTATGCTGACTATCTCACTCATCTGGTGCCACTAAGACAAATGAATGGGACGCACTCAGGTCTGAATGGCTCATTCACAGAAAGGGATCGGGATAAGCATCTGCCATCCTGTTTTGTGTGTTTGTGACTGACTCGCCAATTCTGCCCTTTGAGGGGAAGGAGGAGTAGGATCTGTGGGGCTCCCCTGGTCCCATCACAGTTGTTGCTTCCAACTCCAGGCAGAAGGAACTCAAGGACTTCTAACCTGGAGGAGGAAACCATTATCTGGGTGGCTATAATATTACAGCAAGGAGTGCCCTTACAAAGGCCGAGGCCAGAAGGGAGGCTGAATTGCCTTGCCTTCCTTTCCTGCAAAACGGGTGCCCTGAGATGTTGAGGCTCAAGCCCCTTTAATCTGGTACAGTTCATGTAGTTGCAAACAAAGAAAAGTGGAAAATCCTGGCGGTTGCCTTAGTTAGGAAAAGGAATCCAGTTGGAGGAGAAAGAGCCTGCCTGCAGCTGCTTGGAGAGAGGGAGGGATGTTCTGAAAGTGAAAATGGCTGGGAAAATCTTACAAGGATAACAGCAGAGGCAAAGATGGGATTGCCAGGCTCCAGATGTTGGTGTGTGTTTTCCTTTCTGGCAATATTGGAAGTTTTTGTTCCTAGAACTGACAGGTCCCCGTGGAGGCTTTTGGTGTGTGTGTGTGTATGTGTATGTGACAATCCTGCAAAGTCTCCCACTTGGTCTAGGAAAAGAATCACTTTGCAGGGTACCCCATAGGAGCAGAAGGAGAAGGCAAGTGGAAGCAGAGGGAGGGGGAGTGGCATTCTTGTTCCTGCTTGCCTCCCTGCCCCAAAACTCTAGAAGTTTCTGCATCCAGTCATTGGGTTACTCAGAAATAAGCCAAAGTTTGGGTGCAGCTCACTGCGAACTCCTAAGTTAACTCGATGTCAGGGCCATCCAGGTGTGATAAACCAGATTAGTGTTTCTCAACCTCGCCTCAGCTCCCAAAATTCCACAGCTAGCACTTGATGCTTGGGTATTCTGGGAATTGAAGTCCACGCATCTTAAAAAGTCCAAAGCTGAGAAGCCCTGGGCTAGATAGAATACAGAACTGAGAGAGGAAAAAGACTCATGACGTAAGATTCCCACTGCAGCTTCTCCATCCACAGCCCTTTGAAGCCCTCCAAGAGGGGGCTCCATCCGGGAGTGCGGGAGGATCCCTTGGAAGGCAGGACAGAGGATTTCGGACAATACCTGTATGACAAAATCGCTCAGATCCGGGGGGATTTGGACTCTGACTGGGTAGATCAGGGCAGGGTGACGAGGAATAGTCTTGAGAATGTTATCTGGGAGGAGTTTGAGGCTGTGACTCCCGATGATGTGGACAGGATTTTGGGGAGACTTAGTGTGGCCACATGTTTACTGGACCCGTGTCCCTCCTGGCTGGTACTGGCTTCCCGGGAGGTTACACGAGGCTGGCTCCAGGGTGTTATCAACGCTTCGTTGAGTGAGGGTTACTTCCCCACCGCCTTGAAAGAGGAGGTGGTGAGGCCTCTCCTCAAGAAGCCGTCCCTGAATCCGGCAATATTGGCCAACTACCGCCCTGTCTCCAACCTTCGCTTTATGGCGAAGGTTGTTGAGAGTGTGGTCGCGCGACAGTTTCCGCAATTCCTGGAGGAAACATCTTATCTAGATCTGTTCCAGTCGGGTTTCAGGTCTGGGCACAGCACAGAAACGGCATTGGTCGCGTTGGTTGATGATCTCTGGAGGGCTCGGGACAGGGGTTGCTCCTCTGTTTTGGTCCTGTTAGACCTCTCAGCGGCTTTTGATACCATCAACCATGGTATCATGCTGCACCGGCTGGAAGAGTTGGGGGTGGGAGGCACCGTGTTATGGTGGTTCTCCTCCTTTCTCTCCGACCGGTCGCAGTTTGTGTTGGCAGGGAGGCAGAGGTCGACCCCGAGGCCTCTCATCTGTGGAGTGCCGCAGGGATCGGTCCTCTCGCCCCTTCTGTTCAACATTTATGTGAAGCCGCTGGGCGAGATCATCCGTGGCTTTGGGGTGAGATACCACCAGTACGCTGATGACACCCAGCTGTACATCTCCACCCCAGGCCACCCCAACGATGCCCTTGAAGTGATGTCCCAGTGCCTGGAGGCTGTGCGGATCTGGATGGGGAGGAACAGGCTCAAGCTCAACCCTTCCAAGACTGAGTGGCTGTGGCTCCCGGCATCCCGATATAGTCAGTTGACCCCATCACTGACTATTGGGGGCGAGTCGTTGGCCCCCACAGAGAGGGCTCGCAATCTGGGAGTCCTCCTGGATATGCAGCTGTCTTTGGAGGAACATCTGACGGCTGTAACCAGGGGGACCTTTTTTCAGGTTCGCCTGATTCGCCAGTTGCGGCCCTTTCTTGATCGGGATTCCCTGTGCACAGTCACTCATGCCCTCGTCACCTCTCGCCTTGACTACTGCAAAGCTCTCTACATGGGGCTCCCCTTGAGGAGCACCCGGAGGCTCCAGTTGGTCCAGAACGCAGCAGCGCGGGTAGTGACGGGAGCAGCATGGCGCTCCCATGTAACACCGCTCCTGTGCGAGCTGCACTGGCTCCCGGTGGTCTTCCGGGTGCGCTTCAAGGTGCTGGTTATCACCTTTAAAGCGCTCCATGGCATAGGGCCTAGCTATCTTCGAGACCGCCTGCTGCTACCGACGACCTCCCATTGACCTGTGCGCTCACACAGAGAGGGCCTCCTCGGGGTGCCATCAGCCAAACAGTGCAGGCTGGTGACCCCCAGGGGGAGGGCCTTCTCTGTGGGGGCACCTACCCTCTGGAATCAGCTGCCCCCAGAGATAAGGAGAATCCAAGACCTCAGTGCCTTCCATCGTGCCCTTAAAACCCATTTTTTCAAGCAAGCCGGGCTGGCTTAAGAAGAAATTTTTAAATGTTTTAATTGGTAGTGAGTTTTAATAGGGCCAAATTTATATATCTTTTAAGTGTTTTTTAATATTTGTACTGCATGTTTTTTAATTCTGGCTGTACACAGTCCTGAGTCCTCAGGGAGAAGGGCGGTATAGAAATTCAATAATAAATAAATAATAAATAAATAAATAAAGTTCAGATGCACGCTGGAGATGGCCTCGGCTTGCCTCCGTACCCTGGAGCTGTGTGACCTCGCTTGGTCCTCCTTTTCCTTGCAGGGCCCGCTGACCGCTCCAAGCTGCAGAGCCATGGAGATGCAGTCGTACTACGCCAAACTCCTGAGCGAGCTGAACGAGCAGCGGAAGCGGGACTTCTTTTGTGACTGCAGCATCATAGTGGAAGGAAGGATTTTCAAGGCCCACAAGAATATTCTCTTTGCCAACAGCGGCTACTTCCGAGCTTTGTTGATCCACTACATTCAGGACAGTGGCCGGCATAGCACAGCTTCCCTGGACATTGTGACCTCGGAGGCCTTCTCCATTATCCTGGACTTCCTTTATTCAGGTAAGCTGGATCTTTGTGGGGAAAATGTGATTGAGGTCATGTCTGCCGCCAGCTACTTGCAGATGACTGATGTGGTCAACTTCTGCAAGACGTACATCCGGTCATCGTTGGACATCTGCAGGAAGATCGAGCGAGAAGCTGCCTTCTACCAGGCGGACAGTGGGAGCTCCACCAGCTCTGCCTGCCAAGGCCCATCCTGCAGTGCCAAGTCCCAATGCTCAGCCTCCGCTTCCTCTCTGCAGGACAAGGATGGCGTCCCGGACTGCCCACAAGGGCCTCCCCCCTGCGGGGACTGCAGCAGCTGCCATCATCATATGGACCTCTTGGCCAGGGATCCTGCTGGCCGTGAGTCTCCGGATGACACCAGCTCCTCGGCACCCAAGGTGATCGAGCCAAAGGTCGAGTTTGATGTGGACGAGGTGGAAGTTGGGGAACGGCTACAGCAGTACCCCACTCCCTTGATGATCGAGCAGATTGAAGAGGGGCTTCATGGGGGGCAGGCCATGGATCTGGCATGCAGCAGCTACCACATGAAGCAGGTTCTCGAAGCCTTGCTGCGCAACAGCGCCTCCCAAAGGAAAGATGAGATGGTCCACCCTTTTGTGCGTGGCTTTGAGGGCCGGCCAGAAGATGCCAGCTTGCCCATGAGCTCCATGATGGACCTTCACAGTGACTGGTATGGAGAGGACACAGGTAAGCGGAGTATGATGCAGCTTCTCTCTCTGCAAGGGGGTTGTTTTCTGATTCGATGATTTCACACTATTCCATTCCTGTGTGGAATTGAGATAATAAGGTGCATTAAAATAGCTGGGCTCCAAAAGAAGAATGAATCTTAATTCCACAATCTACACTTTCTGGGAAGGTGTAGAATTCGACAAGTATTTAATAAAGGTAGTCCTTGACATGCGACCATTTGTTTAATGATTTAAGTTACAACCGCACTGAAAAAAATGACTTGCAACCAATCCTCACGCTTACGAGTGTCACAGCAATCCCACGCTGATTTGATCAGTGTTCAGGTGCTAGGCAACAGGCCTGTGTTCACGGCACTTGCAGCGTCCTGGGCTCGTGGGATCGCTCTTTGTGAGCTTCCAGCTGGCTTCCGACAAAGTCAAGGGGAGAAGCCAGGTTTGCTTAATGTTTGCATGATTCACTTAACAACTGCAGTGATTTGCTTAACAATGGAAATTCTGGTCCCAGTTGTGGATATAAGTTGTGGGGGGATACCTGTATTAGTGTTGGGATTCTCCCTTCTGCTTCATTTTCCTTGCGCCCCTTCCCAAAGATGATGGGCAGGTTATGATGAAGGGAGAATGAAATGTCATAAAATGAAACCATTCATTCATTCTGCTGTCTTTGTAACCTGCCCAAACCCACACTCTCCAGTTATGATAAATCTTGGATTTAAAAGTGCTTTCCAATTGTTCAGTGAGAATGCAGACGGCACAAACAGTTGAGGATACCTTTAAATGGTTCTACCTGTTTCAAAGGCTCTTGCATTGAAGAGCTCGGGCATTTAGAGAGGAGCACTTGATCCCTGCCTATCCTTGGGATGCAGCCATAAACCTCCTAGTGATGATGTCTAGCTGAGCTATTGAAACTACTGGTAAACGTTCCTTTTTGATGAAGGAATGTCCACCTTCTGGAATTCTGTAACTTAAACAAATTGAAATTAGATGTTGAAGTTGTGTACTTTTTGATATTGACTTTGAAAGATGTTTGATTTATTTACTTATTATTTACTTATTTATTAAATTTATATCCCACCCATCTCGCTATCCAAAGTGACTCTGGGTGGCTGGCCATGCAGTCCTTTAATACAGACCCGGTGGATAGTCATCAGGGGAAATCTAATTAATTTAGAAAGGACTCTGTATATTTTAAATTAGTCCATGCACCATGGACTAGAATTTGGGGTTGATAGTTCTTTCTAAGAAAATCTCCTTTCATGGCCTCCGAGGGAGCATTTTCATCAGCCTAAGAGAATAAAGGACATTTGAGCATAGACAGAAAAGTTACCAAGCAGCAATTTTCAAAACTAAAGAAAAAAAAAACATTTCAGAAATTGTATCTTTGATCCATGAAGTGCTTGCCTCTGAGCTTCAGTTACCATTACCACTGGCAATAAAACTTGACTTAATTCTCCCAAAGGTGCTTTTTCAAGAGGCAACTGGGCTTTCTGGTTTTTCTTTGAAGACGTTTCACTTCTCATCCAAGAAGCTTTTTTACCTTGAAAAAGCACCTTTGGGACAACCATGACCTGGATGACTGAGAATGTCTGTCTATTGGCTTAATTCCTTCATTTCAAACTGACTTATCATAGTACTTTTTAAAGATTTGTTCTGTAAAACTACATGAAACATGAATGACACCAAAGGAAATTAATCCAAGAAAGATTAAATATACCTGTTATAAGGGACTTTCAGTTAAAGTTCACATCTAATCTTGATCATGTTGATCAAATTAGTCCTGATCAATATATTTATCTTCTGTGGCTTTGCTGGTTTTAGCTTAATGGAAACTGCCCTTTATTTGCACAAGTCTCAAGATAGCTAAGTATTAGAGAAGAATGTGTGATGTGCACATTAATATGGACTAGGGGCATGATAGCAGTCTTCCAATATTTGAGGGGCTGTCACAGAGAAGAGTGGGGGTCAGCCTGTACTCCAAAGACCTGAGGGCAGGACAAGAAGCAATGGATAGAAACCTATCAAGGAGTGATCCAACCTAGAACTAACAGAACACTCCATCAGTGGAACCAGAAGCTGTGAGTGCTTCTTCACTGGGAATTTTCAAGAAGAGACTGGACAAGCTGTTTGTCCAGAATGGAATAAGGGTCTCCTGCCATGGGCAGGGGATTGAAATAGAAGACCTCCAAGGTCCCTTCCAACTCTGTTATTCTGTATCAGGGGGTCCTTAGATATTTTGACATTCCCACTTGTTCAATGCCTTTAGGACCGTGAAAATATGGATATAAAGTAGTCCTGAACTCAAGGCCAATGTTTATGGAACTTTTAAGATATGTGGACCTGCTGGCTGGGGAATTCTGGGAGTTGAAGTCCACACATCTTAAAATTCGCAAGATAAAGAAACTGCTCGATTCATAACTTGGTCTCTCAGTTGCTGTCTTTTATCTGCTTCAAGGAATTATTGCTGCTTCTACCCTCCTGTCCTTCTGTATGAAGCCCCCCTCCCCCCCTGCATCATGTTGAAGGTGGATGGATTAAGAGAAAATCTTGCTCCCTTCTTCCCCATCTTTTTAATTGTAATTTTATTGTTATTAGAAATATTTATTTTTCATGGTTTTATTGACTTTTAATGTTGTAAGTGGCCAGAGTCACCTTGAGGTGAGATGGATTGCAAAGAAATCAAATATAGACAAATAATTGCCAACTCGACTGCAGGTCCTTTTTTTAGGAGGCCAGGGGCCCTTTGAGGCCAAGGGACCAGCTGTGTGGGCTACCTCTTCTTGTGCTTTCTCTCTTTCTGCTGGCTTGCTGGGGCTTCCGTCACATTTCCTCCCCAGAAAAAAGCCCGTAGTTCTCTCTGCCTGGAGGAAAGCGGTGCTGGGGACAGAAAGGTCTTCTCTTGGCTTTCTTTGCCCTGATGTCAGTTTACTCTTCCCTGTTGTTGGGGGAGGGCAGCAAGATCCCCCACTCCTGCCTGCTTTGGTATCCCACCTTGAATCAATTTTAAGCCAGTTGGGCTTCAGCTCCCAGAATCCCCCAGCAGCTTTGGGAGTTGAAGCCCACACAGCTTGAAGTGGCCAGCGTTGGGAAGCACAGAAGAAGAGCTGGGACCCTAATATTAGGCTAACTGAAAAGTGGAATTAAAAATATAGGATAACTGAAAGTTACCAGTAGTCCTCGACTTATGACCACAATTGAGCCCAAAATTTCTGTTGCTAAGCAAGACAGTTGTTAAGGGAGTTTGCCTCATTTTACGACTTTCCTTGCCCCAGTTGTTAACTGTGTTGCTGCAATTAAGTTAGTAAGATGGTGGTTATGTGAATCTGCCTTCCCCATTGAAGTTGCTCGTCAGAAGGTCGTAAAAGGTCCCTGCGACACTGCAAGCTTCATAAATATATGCCAGTTACCAAGCATTCAAAATTTGATCCCATGATCAAGGGGATGCTGCAGTGGTCATAAGTGTGAAAAATGGTCATAAATCACTTTTTTCAGTGCCATTGTAACCTCGAATGGTCACTAAACAAATGGTTGTCAAGGAATACCTGTGCTCAAATGTTTGTACCCGGTATGTCTAAAAAGAATACACCCTGTACATCAGTGGTCCCCAACCTTTTTGGTTCCACAGATCAGTGGCTTCAGTGGTTTCATTGGCAGGCGGAAATGCTTTCACGCATGCAACCTAAATCCTGCAGATGCTCAATTGAAGTTTCACATGCTTGCCTGCCTCTTCAGCGACCTGCTTCTCAACGGGCTGCGGCCCTGTAGCGGCCCAGGTGTTGGGGGGGCCCTGCTGTACATCATCACAGAACGTGAATCCAGCCAATTCGTAAAAAGCAGCAGCATTCCCAGCAGGCTTCGGAGCATTGTCCCTGGAGCTACGTCCGGCGATTTAGGGCACGTCTTTGTATCGCTGCTACCTTTGGTCGCCCATGTGCCACTAATGGCTTTCCGTGAGATGCTCTGGGGCAGAATGATTCCGAAATCACGTGGGAATACATGTGAACTCAGCCCTGCGTTACACGTGCAGCAGCGGGCCAAAACGATGCAAACCTGGAGAGGTGGAAGGCAGAATAGAGGGGGCCAGAGTTGGAAGGGACCCTTTGAAGTCAGCAAGTCCATCCTCTGGCTCAGTGCAGGATCTATCTGGCAGCATTCCTGACACGTGGCTGCCCAGCCTCTGCTTGAGGGAAAGGGACATCTGTTTATTTTTTTACTTACTTATTTAGCAAATTAAATAGCTCTCCATCTCATGACTGGCCAATTCCTGGCCATGGGTTCTACCATCCAACTTCTCTTTTTCCTATGAGGTTGGGGTTTTTTTTGAACTTTCAAGCAGAATTTATCTTCCTGTAACTTAAGGCCATCATTCCATGCCCTAAAAGCTGGGAAAAACAAAAATAGACATTTCTTTTTAACTTCTTGTTATTTAGGGAAGACTTTGGGAGTCTCAGTCAAGAGACCCAACCTAGGGAACGGTCAGATAAGAGCCCACAGATGAGAGGTGGGGGTGGGGAGGTGGGCAAGAGGCTCAGAAGAAACCCTCCCTAGTTTCTGGGGCTGTAAAAGGAATCGGGGGTGGGGGGAGATGTACTTTCAGAGTCTATTAATGTAGCTTTACAATAAAGGGTCTTCTGGTTGAGTTTCTGTCTGGTCTACCTTTGGAAGCTAACCTGTCTCCTCCTTTTCAGGTATCCTATCGCTCCCCTCTACTTTTCCACTTCCTGCCATTTTTTCTCCAGTGCTTTTAGCTTATGCTCCCCTTCCTGCTGCCCTTCTTGAAACCTGCCTAAAACTTTCTTTCGGGGGGGGGGGCAGAACAAGGCAGCCAGGAGGGACCCATGCAGAGTACACACGCCTGTCATTTCCTGCAATTTGAAAACTCAGTTTCTTATTCAGATCTGCTCCTGGTTTATTTTGCCACCAGTTTTGTTACTCTCAGCTTGCTGATGGCTGTGTCAGACCTTGTGCTCTCCTGCATCCACCTGCCAAAGCAGATGCCAGCCCGGTGCGTAAAATGTTTGGCCTCTCCTTAGAGCAGAAGCTGAATTGGATTTCGGGGCTTCATGTGGCAAAGGGGAAGTTATGATGGACCCCCAAAAGGCATTTACAACCCTGTTCTGGGGTTCTGATAGTGGTGTGTGCACACAGCCATATTACACTCAAATATGTGATCATGATTTACAATGTTTTATGCCACTTTCCAGCCTTTACAAGTGGTTTCTGGCAAAAACACCACCTTCATTTTATAGCTACCACAAAAAATAGTTGTAAAATCAGGTTGGCATTGGCCGTTATGACTGTCATGATTTACAACGGAAATTTTGGACTCCATTAAAATCGTAAGTCAAGGACTACCTGTAGAGAACTCCCCAGTGGGTTCCCAAGGAAAACCACTGGCCAGGGTGACGGGAATTCAGAAGCGTCCTTCTCCCCAGCCTCCAATTTTTTGGTCATAGCATTGCGCCAGTTGCCAAAGTGATATATATTACAAACTAGTCTAAAAATACGAGTTCCAGGTATATTAGAAAGAAGCAACATCCTGCGAGCTCCGGAACTAAGCTTTCGTCAGCCATCTGCTGACATCGTCAGAGTATTAAAGTAATGGTAGAGTAATGGTAGTTTAATACTTTGACGATGTCAGCAGATGGCTGACGAAAGCTTAGTTAAATAAAATTTTAATTATTTTAAAATTTTAAGTTCTATATCCTGTAGCAAGCAGAGAGCAATCGAATGCTCTTTCCTCTCCCAAATGTTTGCACTGTTACTTTTAAATCCCCTCTTTTGAAACTTGCACCCCCTTTTGAAACAGTCCCAAATGCTGTTTCCCTCCCCCCAAAGGTGATGTCCTTGTGGTGCCCATCAAGCTGCACAAGTGCCCATTTTGCCCCTACACAGCAAAGCAGAAGGGCATCCTGAAGCGCCACATCCGCTCCCACACCGGAGAGAGGCCCTACCCCTGCGAAGTCTGCGGCAAGCGCTTCACGCGCCAGGAGCACCTCCGGAGCCACGCCTTGAGTGTAAGTGGCACGTCGGCTGCACCCACCCATCCGGGGAAGCCGTGTTCCCATCGCAACGGGTGATCAACTTGTGGAAGTCGGGGAGGTTTTTGGAAAAGGGCTGGGCATGACTTGGGCCGGTACAGATGAGACACAGAGTTTGGGGCATCAGCCATGTTGTTTGTTCATTGTACAAATCTATATGGCTGCCCAACTCACACCCGGGTGACCGTGGGCAGCTCACAACATTTAACATACACAACCCATTCTCCCTGCCCCCCAAGGCAGCAACAACGTAATCATACCAACCCCTTGATCGCCCCATCTCCATGCAGTGGGGAGGGGGGGCAATCATACTTCTGGGGGAAGGAAGGGGCCACCCCCGAGAAGGCCTTTTTTTGTGGTCCCAAAAGATGACAATCCCGTAACGTGCCCTGCCTTCCTGTTTGGGTGGGCCGGGTGGATGGAAGATGGGACATTATAGGTGATCTTTCAAACAGCTTGGTCCCAGGCCATGCGGGACTTTAAAAGTGACAACCAGCATCTTAACTGGGCCGGAAGCAGATTGGCAGACAGTGTGGCTCTCGCAAACGAGGTGACCATGCGCAAGTCCAGGCTCGTCTGGGCTGTTGCATTCTGCACTGATTGAAGCTTCTGAAGGCTCTTTGGGGGCACTACACTAGTGCAGACGGGAGGGGACCAGGGCGTGGGTATCTGAGATGGGCATGTTGGTCCAGGATGGGTATAAAGTTGTGCAAAGGCCATCCTGACCACGACTGCCACCTGTGGTTGACCATCCTGCTTGATGTTTGGATCTCCAGGTCCATCGGTCCAACAAGCCCATCATCTGCAAAGGCTGCCGGCGGACGTTCACCAGCAGCCTGACTCAAGGCTTGCGTCGCTTTGGCTTGTGTGACAGTTGCACGTGTGTCACCACCACACATGAGGATTCGGTGCCCATCAACCTCAGCCTCATGGAGCCTTCCTCCGAAGGGCCGGAAAAGAGTGACCCAGACAACGACTGGCCCATCTACGTTGAATCGGGGGATGAAAACGATCCGCCTGAGGATGAGGAGGCCGATCCCCACCATAAGCAGGGCCTCCATGAAGAAGCACTGATGTAGCAGTGGGGCGGGGGGATGGGGGGAGGGGCTGGAGCACGGTTGGGAATCCCTTTTCCTTATTATGGATGGGTCGACCCATACAGTTACCTAGAATTGCATGAACTTGGGTCCTTTTTATATAAACAGAAATAATTCTCTTTTGGTGACCATAGATAGACTTTGTCATTCTGAAACACCTTTTTCAATCGTCGTTGCTGTGCATGACTTATTTGGAAAGGATTCCGGGTTCAAGAGTGGGAGCACCAGGGCTCCCAGCTGCAGTTCTGAGAGGTTGGGTGCCTTTTGCAGCTGGCCTCTTCTCTGCTTACTTGGTGCAGCCTCTCTTTTTCCTCCCTGCTGCTACTTTTTCCTTGAAGTACCCTTTGGATCCAGAAAAGATTTGGGGGTGGGGGGACAAGCTTTCCTCCCTCCCTTCCTCCCTGTTCTGATCTTTAATTCTAACTTAGAAATGTAAACACCACTCTCTCCGTGCAAAAACTGGAAACTTCATCACCAGTTTGATGTCTGAATTGAAGAACTGCTACAACGAATCCTAATTTTTAGATATTTTTATCACCAATTTAAATGGATGCTTCGGCTCTGCCTCAAGTCAAGGGCACATAAAAAGTTTACAAATCTCTGGAGTAACAACCTTGGGGATTGCAGTGCACTGAGCACTGATGTGCTTTGTGCTTAAACCAAAGGGACTCTTCTGTCTTGAGCTGTGTATCCGTGGCAGGGCTTAATGGCTACACTTGGTGATAGTGGAGCAGAAAGTCTGAAGTTCATTTCTCAGCATCTCCAACTGAAACACCAAGATATTTTGCTGCCTGACTGGCTCGGTATCAGCAGCTGCCTTCATTTATTGGACCCAAAGCCGATGGTTGCTGTGGCTGGCCCCATGCGCACAGTGTAAGCTACCACAGAGGATGTACCGCTTGTGGGCCCTTAGAACAATTGATGACTCCACATGGTTCATGCTTCTAGGAAGAAATATGAGAGGGAAGCCGATGGTGCTCTGGAGCCAGAGGCAGGGACACGTGGCCTCAAGGGCTGTTGAGTAGAGCTCCAGCATCTTCACTGGTGGCTGAGCTGGGACCTCCGGCAGGGCCCAGCAAAGAGCCTGGAACGAGCCTGTCGGGTCAAAGTTGACAGAACTCCACTTTGCCCTTGTGCATTGCAAAGGCAATTCTGTGAAGATTTCTGGGAATGTCCACGTTCTGGACCTGGTGGGTGGGGGAAATTGGGCCCTTGCAGGATCCCCTTTCTGGTGGTGGTTGTATTGTGAACACTGAGTCAGCAATGAGCCACAATTCTTCAGTTTACTGCCCCACTTCTTTCCAGGATGCATGCCTCTCATTGCACAGATACATGGTAATATGGGTGGATTGTGTTGTATCGTCTTACAAGTTTGTCTCGTGTGTGTTCTATGTTTTAAAAAAATACAATTTCAACTTTGCTTTATTCCCATTGATGGTATACACTAGGGATTTAGTTTCCTATAGAATGTGAAATTACTCAATTTATGTCCTCAGGTTGAATTTCTAGAGGCTATTTAAACTATCAAAACACATTGGATATAACAGAACAAAGTTACCAAAAGAAAAGCCAGCAAACATCAAAGTCTAAAATTGTATGTAGTGGTTTGTATTTTCCGTATTCAGAATAAATTCACCTTCTCCATCCTGGTGTCAACGTTACCAGGTAGACCAGGCAGGAAAAATGACCAGATAAGTTAATTCTACTTTATTGTAAAGTTACATTCATAGAATCTTGCAAGTCTGAAGGTGTAAGTCTCCTGCCATCATCTTTACAGTCTGAGAAACTAGGGAAGGTCTCTCTTCGGCCTCTTGCCCCGTCCACTCCCCAGCTGTGGACTAAGCTGTCTCTCTTACCTGGCAATTCTCTAGGCAGCCTTTCTCCCCATCTCCCAAGGCGCTTCCCACATGTTAGTACACCTGGTGACCTTCCCAGTGTGCTGGACTAGGTCCCACCTGGCTTTACCAACTAGAAATTGTGGAGATTAATCTGACACATCTGAATAGCACCAACCCAGATACTAGGAGCAGAAAAACTTGGTTTCTAGTTCTCCCTAAGACATGGAAGTCAACCTTGGCCAATCACAACCTTTGTAAAAGCTGGCTAAAAAAATCTGCTTACTGTATCCTTGTTCTTTAAAAACAGAATTGTCCCTCCTCTGCTTCCATATTTCCCAAGTGTGAATCCCCAAGGTGATTATTGAAAAAGTTCAAAATAGTGCATGTGATTACACAAAGCCCTGCTGCTTTGTGTAACTGCTCCTTTGACTTGTTTTATTTTCCCTCATTTTGCCTTTACATTGTCAGGTTCCAAGGAATTGGAGTAGCTGTGCATCCCACAACCTGGATCCCCCCCCCCAAGTGTGCTGAACTACCTCTGACCAACTCAGCACTGCAGCTGTCTAAGCTGTGCCCACTTTAGCTCATGGCCCTGCCTGGACCCAATTGTGGTATAAACCCATCTCAGGGGAGCATTATTTTTCTGCCATGGCCTCTGGATGATGAAGCTATTGCTGTTTCAGGAGTCAGAAGATGTAAATTGTCCTCAGTGGGCCTGGTGTTAATACAAAAGTTTTGTCCATCATCCAGGAGGCAGCCTGAAGGTGTATAAAGTAGATTAGGTTTTGCCCCTTGGAGGAAGTCAGGAGATGGGCAATGATGAGGAATAGTATGAAGCATTGAGAGAGAGTAGTAGGAGCAGCAAACATCACAATCTCCTGAAGGGACAGGTGAGACCATTAATCCATCTGGGTTGTGGGCTTCTGCAGTGGTCAGAATACAGTATTGGCCTGATTTTATATTGGTTTTAAAATTGATACTGATTTTAATTGAAATGTTTTAAATTATGGGCCAAACTTTATTTAATTATTTTGAAACTATTTTAACTTTTGTGTACAAATGTTTTATTTTTGGCTGTTCACCGCCCTGAGTCCGAAAGGAGAAGGGTGGTATAGAAATTTAAATAATAAATAAATAAATTGCAGGCTAATTCTGCCAGCTGCCAGCAGTTCAATTCTAACCGGCTCAAGGTTGACTCAGCCTTCCCTCCTTCTGAGGTTGGTAAAATGAGGATCCAGATTGTTGACGGCAATAGGCTGACTAAACCATTTAGAGAAGGCTGTAAAACACTGTGAAGTGGTATATAAGTCAACAGTAAATACTATTGCTATTCTGGCTTGGGGAGAAAAGTCTAGATGGTCCATGCTCAACACAAATCTGTTGATTAATGGACAGAATGCTGCAGTTTTCTTGGTGATAACGGTTTACTGTAGATCTCTTCGGAGGTTTAAGGATTCTTGTTTGCATCAGACAATTCAGTCTGGTTTCAGGAATTTTCTTGAGAGTGGAAAATGAAGCTTATTTATATAAGGGGAAAGAGGAGAGAATTCTAATCAACATTCCCATTCTGGCCAAAACTAAGTGGGTTATTTTGTTCATCCCATTTGTGTTTCATGAAATTGTATTGTTTTTGGCTTCCCTGTGAGGACACACCGCCTGCATATTCCTTTCATCCTGCAAATGCTAAGTTCTGTTATATATCTATGAAGCCTTTTAGTCTAATCCAAATTTGGCATTTTGATAAGCAATACTTAAAAAGAATGGAAATATAATTTTGATTACTTTTCTATGAGCCTAAGAAGCTGTTTGAACTAATATTTTGAAACTATTTCTCTCTACTTTGATGATGCAGTTGCAAGATTAATGGCCTTGTTTTCCTGACTGCTTACCAGCCTCAGTGGTCTCCCCTGCTGGGGAGTCCCATTGACTGAAAAAGACAAATGCTTTTAGGGAGGCTTCAGCCTCTCCAAAGTGTCTTTTATTTTGTTTTCAATGAGTAGTAAGTTTTTAAACCAGAGATCTTTAAACTGATTTTTTAAAATAAAGCTGTTTTGCTTGGTTTCCTCTCTGACTACAAAATTTAAATCTTTATGAGATTTAATGTGGTGAAATTCTTAACTTCTGCTTTTATATCACCAGAGTTTATTGAACGAAAACTTAAAGCAAGTTCCTTAAAAAGATACATTTAAAGACACCCACTCAAAACTTCCATAAATCTTGAATTCCGAGACTTCAAAGGTAGGCAGGTTGGTGCTAAAGTTGCATTTAAATTTAGTGAAATTACATGTTTTGCTTGAGGTCTCCCTCAAGTTCAAGCTCACCTCCTGGTGCTTCCCATGTGCACCCAAGATAGCTTTTGGTAAAAGTATCATTTTTACCAAAACTGAGTGCCTTTCCTCCTCCTGGGATGTTTGAAATTCCCAGTTTAGCCACAACTTTGGTGGTTTCCCATTCTAAGCAGATCTGACTTTGTTTAGTTCTTATTATTAGTTCCTGATTATTCAATCATTTTAAGAGGGTCTGGGGAAGCTTGAAAATCTCTGTTTTTGAACTGTTGTGGGAAAAATGTGATTTTAAATGAGGAACCAAAATGTTGGAAGTTGAATTCAACTAAGACTTTTTTACTGACATGCAGAACTACAGTGATAGCTGGGATTCCCAAAAAATTGCCCCAAATCCCACAAGGTTATTTATTTTATTTATTTTTTTATTTTTTTATTTTATTAAATTTATATACCGCCCTTCTCCCTGAGGACTCAGGGCGGTGTACAGCCAGAATTAAAAAACATGGAATACAAATATTAAAAAACAATTAAAATATATATAAATTTGGCCCAAAATTAAAAATACAAACCAATTAAAACATTTAAAATTTCTTCTTAAGCCAGCCGGCTTGCTGGAAAAAGTGGGTTTTAAGGGCACGGCGGAAGGCACTGAGGTCTTGGATTCTCCTTATCTCTGGGGGAACTGATTCCAGAGGGTAGGTGCCCCCACAGAGAAGGCCCTCCCCCTAGGGGTCACCAGCCTACATTGATTGGCTGATGGCACCCTGAGGAGGCCCTCTCTGTGGGAGCGCACAGGACGATGGGAGGTCATCGGTAGCAGCAGGCGGTCTTGAAGATAGCTAGGCCCTATGCCATGGAGCGCTTTAAAGGTGATAACCAACACCT